GGCCCAGTAATGCAAACCCTCTTTCCCAGTCAGCTGCTCGTCTGGATAAATCATAGCTGTCTCAACAAGCTCGAAGATGGATTCAAGCCACATTTCAGAGAAATGTATTATTTATGGAGGACCTGCTCCTTAATAAACAACACACCAGTTACATTTTCTTTTAAATTTAGTGTAATTTAATGAAACCCAGTGTTTGTTTTCTTTCAGGGCATTTCAGTGGGTATTTGCATCTCCTTAATGGCTCACAGTGTTTGATAACTAATGTGTTATGAAGTGAAGTGAGAGGCATGTCCTCTAAATCCTCCCCGGAGCCACAAACATTTCACATATTTTTAGTAGTATTTACTAATTAATTTTGTTGTTGCCCAAATGTTTGTTTTCCCCATAAGTCAACATATCCTCACTTCTGAGTTTGAGAATATTTGGCTCTGGAAACTGATAGTCTGATATGTCAAATCAGCAATGGCATTTCTTTAATATTAATTCATTTGATCAAAATAGATTAAGAAAGGATATTTTGAAGAGGCACATCATTCATGAAGAAATCCAAGCAAAAACTTGTTTCTTAGATTACAGTGTGCAGTCCATTTTAAATCACAGCAAACGGGGATGTATGTCACAGCTAAATAGGCTGATGACATAAATGTTATAAGGTCAATTTTTCTGTTTTAAGTGCTTAGTGCAGTTATTTTTGTTGTCTCAACTGAACTACTACAATGAAAGATAACATTTAATTTTAGAAAAACAAAGATTTGTAGCAATTAATAATTAACACAAATGGAAAATTCACTATTAAATAAACACACTAAGTCAGTATAGCAATAAAGCTCATGCTGGATTTAAATGTGACAACAGCAGAAAGACAGAAAGAAGAAAAGACGAAGACTTCAAGAGACCACAGACGGTGAGTAATAAGACATTCCACAGGACCCATTGTAATATTATATGAATCATTTTTGATATAAGATACAAGTCATACATGTAAAACTAAAACTCTGTGATTCAGTTAGTGAACCAACTGCAGTTGTCATCTGAGGCCATCATCAGTTAAAGTCTTAATGATCTGATTTCCACTGGAGGAGAACATCTGTTTTTACAGAGGTTACCTTTATGTTCCTATTTACTTAAACAGCACTGCTTGATTATCACTTTGACTACACAACAAGCTCTGCATCTCACATCTGATAAGAATTAATATCAGAAAATATACGCAAAACACAAACACAAGAAAGAAGCTGTTGCTTATTTTCAGCTTTTGTCATTGTTGAAGGAGGCCTAAAATCCATCAGATTATTGTGTTTTCACACTATTCCCTCATGAAAACAAGACAAGAAAGAGTTCAGCAATTACATAAAAGCATCTGATGTGACTCTGCTCCTGAAGCTGCTGCTGCCCTCTTTGTCTTCACTGGGGTCATCGCTCAGGGAGTAAAGCCCTGGCCTCTGCTTGTGCTTCTTCTTTTGGCCTGTCACATGTGGCTGGAAGAGGCGGCTTATTGAAGGCCGGCACTTGGAAAGATCCGGGACCAGGTCCAGCTCTTCTTTGTCGGGGATGGCCTTGTCCTGAGCCTGCCAGGATTTGGGTCCACTCAGCATCTCTCTCACAGTTGCAGAAGTGCCTTTGTGCAGATAGTGGCAGGCTTTCTTCCCGTAGTTGTCTCTGATATTTATATTAGCCCCGTACTCCCCGACCAGCATGGCCATGATGTACTCCTGGTTGTGCAAAGCAGCAATGTGCAAGGGTGTATATCCACCATGTGTTTTCACATTAATGTCGATGTCAACTCCTCCCTGCCTTGCTAGGTCAATAAGCTTCACAAGCAAGTCACTGTTTCCACACTTGGCCATCCAGTGCAAAGCGGTGAACCCTGACATGAAGTCCCTCTTCTCAGCAAGCTGGTTGTCTCTCAGCAGCATCCCATAAACCTGGCTCCAGTGGCCAGAGGCACATTTAACCAGCCATTCATGCTCTGATTGCTCAAGGGGAAACGTGGAGTGAATTCTTGTATCTTTGGGTTCCTCTGGTGCCCCGGTGCTCTTCAAAGCCCTCCTCAGCTGGGGTGAGCCGCTGCTGCTGCTACTGTCCACTGAAGAGGGTCTTTTTTTGTTTCTTGAGGAATCCAGTTTTAGAGTTTCAGGAGCATCGTGTGGGTCCGTCTTCAGTTTGCAGACTTCCACCCTGGTGACACTGGGTGGCATTCTCAGAGGCAAACCGTATGGTTTGCTCAGGATGGTGGTGGGTTCATTTACTACAACTCTTCTGGAGCTGTCTCTGTTTATGTCCTGCTTCTGGATATCAAAATTCAGCATCCTTTTAGTTCTAACATCTTTATAGTTGCATGCCTGCAATGCCAGCTCTATAGCAGACAATAACTTTGAAGGATTTTCATCACTTTCAGGTGGCTGTTCTTGATCAAGCTGAGAAACAGCTGATCTCTCCCCTCCCTCACCCACAGACTGCACAGTTTTCTCACCCAGCACAGGTGGGCGCTGTTGCTCACCTTTCAGGGTCTCTTTTTCTCCAGTCTTTGTCCCGCTTCTCTCTACAGTCCGGACGCCCTCCAGCAAATGTTGATAGGTTTTCTTGATGACGACATACCGGACACCGTCTATTTCTCTAACGATGGCGACGTTGTTGACAAAGGTCTTGAAAAGCTCCCTATTCCGTTCTCTCTCTGCGGGATCGACGCAATCCACTAAATCTTTAAACTTAGCCACCAAGTCGGATTTCTTCAGCTTGCCACCCTCCGCTATTAGCAAAGACAGGACGGATTCTTGAGTCAAAACCATTATTAAAACTGTGGGTTTTACGCAAGCTAAGGTTAAAGGGTCTCTTTGTAAGAGCCTGACTGTTTCCTGTTACACCTTTGTTCTGACAGATCACCTGGCCGCTCACTTCTCTCCTCCCCACCTGGAGGAGTCTTTTTCCGGGATAAATGCAGGCGTGGATAGAGTCTGAATAATAGGTTCTACGATATGCAAATGTTTCCCTGCAGCCAAAAATAGGCCCTCTTGGATGCGTTTTCTTTCTCTTTCTTCTTCATCTTCTTTTAATAATTAGAATTTAGCAAGAAATGCAGTCTATGTTTTAACAGTCGGAGATAGAAGCAAGTCTCCTATTCCCATTTAGAGGCTACTAACCAGGCGCATGTACATGAAAAATAATTTGAAATAGACTAAAACAAAATGCATTTATTTACACATTTACAGCGCTTATAATTAAGGTTATAGGCTCACTGAAAGAGTGATACTCAGTAAGGCCTGCTACTGCCTACTACTACACACAAGTAAATATATTATTATTATGGTCATTATGATTATTATGCGTATTTTATTATGTGCTTTTTCGGGTTGTCAAAAACGTTTGCTTGGCCTGGCCAGCTATAGGCCTATCTTTATTCAATATAGCCTAGTGATCCAGTGTTTATTTCTTTTAACTGAACAAACTACTATCTGCCTTTCTTCTGTTGTTAAAACGTTCAAAACAATGTCCATTCCCATTCACACTAAATATCAATATCACCCTCAAAATCCACTATTACTCTGGCACACACATACATAAAGTTTATAAATGCTTAATGTATACCGGACGCAGGCATATAAAACCCCCCCAGGGTACCAAGGGCACACACAATATAGGCCTATAGCCAACAACACAGTTTATAATGAATGGAATGGAGCATAAATTTGACACTGAAATCATTAATTGATCTGATTGGCTGTCACATTCTAGTATGCTCAATATGTAACCTCGTTAAATGATTGAAATATGAATGCACTATCTTGAGAACGTCACACCGACAACTGGGGTATTTTATCATTTCCACACATATTTCTGCTCTCGGTGCTGCTCCCCCCTGTCCTGGCTTGCAATATGTGGAACAAGACATTCCTGGAGTGAACGGGAGCTCCTGAAAAGTGGCCATCTTGGAACGTATCCGTCCTGCCCAAAGATGCAATGAATATCGAGATGGTTCACACCCTCCTTTAACGTACGTAGAAAGGTTGAGCGTTACATCGCGTACAGGCAACTTTAAACTGCTCCCAATTCAGAATATACAAACATTTATTTAGTAGGCACAGTTGATAATCAGGTAAACGAGAAGAAAAATTTAAAGTCAAGAGTATTCGTTTAATAGAACTGTCTACCAGTTGTAGCCTCCCCGAGCGAAGGAAAAACAAACAAGCAGTGAATCTCTCTTCGCCTAGCCAGCTAGTAGCCTCCTCGCCTGGTTACCAGCTCTCCTCAGTCGTGTGTCCCTCTCCTCCCATCTCCGTGGGCTTGGCTCAGTCAGTAGTTTAGCAGGCTAGTACGGAGAGACGAGGGCTGCTCCCTTTCGCCCCTGCTTAGTCTGCTCAGCACACCAACACCATACATTCCGCACCATGGCTGCTACGGACGTTGACGTATTTTCGGTAAGTGAGAGCCGCGGTGTTCCTCGTTTATTTGTCTCTACTCCTTTGGGATTGGAAACATTACAAGTGCAGCCTCGGGAACACTTGGTTGTGATGAGTAAAAGTGTGGGTGTTAGCTACTGTGTGTAGGCTAACTAAGCCTCCCCCGCTTTTGAAGCGTGTAATGTGGACTCAGACGAGATGGTGGAAGTGACTTCTGTGGTGGTTTCTTTCACTAAAGACAAATTAAGACAAGTGTCGCTGACTATTTTAATGCCATGTCTTATAACAGTTATTTTTTTTTAAATATAACTTAAACAACAAGGGTGTAGCGGATGGCACTATAACCCTATTTACTGTGGACATTAGAAGTGCCTGTTTTTTGGAATATATCAAATACCATAACTAGCTAGCTGATGAAAATATTAGGATATAGCTGCTATAAAAGAGTTGTGCGAAGGAAAAACAACATGCACACTTGAAGTCCCTATAAGATATATTAATTGGCAATTTTAATGTGTAAAAGTGCAGCATCGTGATGAATTATAGCCCTTCATACAGTGTGATGAGCCCAGGTCCTAGCCATGTGTGGACATGTGGTTTCACTTCCCGTTCAGAGGTGCAAAGTTTCACGTTTCTGACTAATAATGTTATATTCAGACCTAAGGCCATGTCAGTTTTAGGAGCCACCAAGCAGGCCACACTGATGACCTGTATTTCTCTGTACAGTACATTTGCATATCACAGTAGTAGGTTGGGCATGCTAGAGTAGCTGAGAGTGGAATGCACCTTGCATTATTTTCATACTGACAAGCCCTGTTGTCAGTCAGGTATGACCCTGTCAAGTATGGCATAGTGATGCAATACAGGCAGAAGAAAGCAGCAATAACACAATAAGTCACATGACAAAGCCTGTGTGTTTTATGAAAAACCAATATTGTTGTGACGTGGCGAGCGTGCAGGAGGGCATTTAAAGAGGGTGATTAACTTTTTGGCAGATGCTTGAGGACATCCTTGTGGTGAATTGAACAATAAGCAGCACTGAGTTGTATGGATAAAGAGATTAAGGACACACTCCGGGCCACTCCCACCACTTGTTGGTGCAACGTCTGCAAAGAAAGCAAAAAAGGAAAAGATCCAAAATGTGGATACAGAAGACACTACACAGTTGGCATGTCCAAGAGGGGGTACAGGTTCAAGATAATGCAGACTTGAGAGTTTTAAATGTCTCTTGGAATACAAGAGTCAAGGATTGATTAATGAGAGAATGCTGAGAATGCAGTGAGACAGACACTTGCCCTAATGTTTAACTTCCTGTCTAACTTTCTGAGCTAAGTGAGACCGTGCTGAACAAACGGACATGCTCGCCTGGCAGTTTGTTTAAAGGGCACGCTGTTAATTATGTGCAGCTATTGATAGGGATGTGTGGTTGTCTGCATTGTTGGCTCATTTCAATCGCCCAGTGGAGACTAGCTTTGGGATAACTTTGCAGACCAGGTGATCAGTCTAGCCAACAACTTCTATTGTTTTTGACTCACTGATTGCATTAGAGTGTGTATATAGAGGATGCTGTTCATTAGAATTGTTATGTAATGAAACAGCCTATAACATATTTATGTGCAGTGCTTACTGACCCTGAAGTGTATTTTCTCTCGCATGAGGCCTACGTGAATAAAATCAAATTAGGTTCATGAAGTGCTTAAAGGCAAGAGATGTGGAATGAAACATTATGGGAGCCAGTCGCTCGCACTTTAATAGAGCTGTCCTCTGCTTGTTTGTGCAGAGCGTGGTGTTAACTTGTGAATAGATTTTCTACATATTTACACTAGTTACTGATTTTAGCTATGGAATTGAGCAATTTTAAACAAATTCTAGGGCTGGCCACTGCATTTCATATGTTGTTCATCTAAATGCTGATGGAGTCAGATTGTAAATCAAGGTTAATGACCGTTGTGTGTCATCCGTGTTGTTAGTTGTACATAAAACATACAGGTCAGAACTTCCTACAGGCGAGCTTTGCAATTCCAGTAGCAGATGAGTGACAGCCAAGCAGCAGCGCATGTGGAGATGAGTCAGTGTTCATCTATAGAATAGGTCTGCATTACTCAAAGACTGATAGGATGCTCCAAGATTAAAATAGCTTCCAAAAATCTAAATGCATATTTTGATACAGCAACGTTTGCTTTGATGTTGTACCATTAGTCTTTTTGGGTCCACAGTGACCAGCTGTGTTTAGATTCTGAGCAATGCAGCTTGCATGAGGCATGCATTTAAATGGTTAATTCAGTCTGACCTCATTAACCTAACTCTGAGCTACTAGCACAGAGAGCAACCACACAAAACTGAAAGTCTGGTGGTCCATACTTTAAAAATAGCCTGTCCAATGCAGATTCAGTTAGTTGTGATGTCTGTAACTATCACTGAGAATGCCAGGAAGGATAAAAATCCATTAGGTTACTGTTTCATTAAGTAAAACCTATATATGTCATCAATAAATCTGGATTTATTGCATCCAAAAAAGTCATAAAAGAAAATATTCCACTTCAGTCTCAGAGTTGTATATGTCGGAGTTGAGATCTGTCATAGAAAGTTTATAGTAACACAAGTGTGCAGTTTGTGATTAAATCACCTCCTTAATGTTGTTTTTACCAGAAGCATTCACTAACATACACAACTACTAGTACAGAACATGAAACAACAATGGTTTGCATCTTATGTAGTGCATGAGAAAGCTTGACATATCTGTGTGAGAGAGAAACTCACCAGATCCAGAAGAGTTTTACCTCTGTTTCATAAAGAGTTTGATTTATTTCTGTTAACAAAACAGTTTTTGTAGAATCAGGCTTTATTTGTCAGTTCAGTGATAGTAAGGAAATTGTGTATTTGTGAAATGCCCTGTAAGGATGAGTATGCTGTACATCTGGCTCATAAAATGGTTCCTGTCTCACTCATTTTATTTCTGTCTTTCCTGTTGAGCATAGATGAGTGATAAAACTTAGCAGTAATGTGGCCATACAGTCGTGGTGCATCAATGTTAGACAAAAGGAGAATGTGGGCTTTTGTTTTTTGTGGATTCCTAAAAGCATTTTCATCATTGCAACATCACCACCAGCACAAGCAGCAAGAGAACGGCCTTAGCAGAATCTGTAGGTGTGGATGGAGCCGGTAGTATTGTGAAAACATTATATCCAAGCTTATGTTTTGTTTGATGACATGGGATGGGCTGGAAAATAACTTGTGATGTAATTTTTAATGAGCGTGATGAGTACACCAAATCCTCTCAGATCTCAAAAGCCTGATGTACCAGTCCACAAATGGTTACACTTTAAAGGACATCGAGCTACGCTTTTAATAACTGTCATTGGACAGGAAGCACCATCTACAGCCACCTAGCTACAAAGAACTGAATGTGCGTGGGGGCTTGTCATTGAGGTCATCATGTGGTCTCCCCTACCCATAGATGCTAAGTTGAATTAAGCTCATAGCATCTCCACAAGCCCACAAACCGACATCCCCTTGTGAAACCAAATGTTTATGCTAGGATAGGTTCACAGTTATTCAGGTCTGTCTTAAAACAGTAGTCAGGTGCCCATATGAAAAATTAAAGAGGTTTTGCTAGTGGTAATCATTCCTCCTGCTCATAAAGGCCATGAAGAGGTCACTGAAAAAAACAAAAATATGGAATGCTACCTGGCAGCTGATCTAGCCTCTTTAAAATTAAATGTGAAACCATGACATTTAAGGCAAACGAGTTCTACACCAGTGCATCTCAAATTTCTGTAAATATTTGAAGTCTTTTCAAAGGCCTTTCCTCGATGTACTGTATTGTAGTTGCAGTGGTGTGTATCGCAGTCTGTCAGGTGGAGGCTCACTGAGGCAGAAACAAGCTGCAAAGACACAAGTCAGGTGGGCATGAAGACCGAAGGGTGAGAAGGAACCTGAAGAGCATACAGACAGACAACAAGTGGGGTCTGGAGAATTTCAGGTTAGGTCAGAGCTGTTCACAAACGGTTTCTTTACATGTCCTTAAAATAGACCAAAGTTTTATTCTTACTTACATCAGGTTGAATCTGCATCACATATTTAGTTTACCTTTTGGAAAGGTGATGCCAAAGTGCCTTCTGAGCTTGTTTAGTTTTGTGAAATTTGAGATGCTTGGGAACCGTGATAACCATTTTCTCCTATTTTCAGAGATTGTAGACCACAGATTTGTGTGTGGGAGAGGCAGCACAGTTAATCATTTTTAAGGCACAATCCTGATTCATACCCATGTGTAATCTCATTCAAAAGCACAGCATTTTCTCCTGTTACATGTACAAACATATTTAAAAAAAAAAAGAAAAATCCTGTTCACATCAGTCATGTACAAACACACATGATTGTGAAGTAGCCTATACGATTTGTGCCTCATTTTGCTATGAGCCACCAGGACCCCTCTGCGCAGCCATTTCCTGTTGGCCGAGTGATACGGTGGCCTAGCAACTGTGCTGTTTCCTCACCCTGGGACAGTTCACCAGAAGCTTTTCATTCCTGTCATACTTTAAGCTGCTGCTCTTCTCCTCTTGATCTAGCTCGGGTGGGTGGACAGGGAGATGCCTCCCAGTTCCCCTAATTGCTTGTGTCTATTGGTTGTACATCCTGTATTTGCTGATGGGTATTGTGCCCTTGTAAATAAATGTAAATGTATTAGGAACTAAGAGAGGCTTATTTTTAGCTTTGTTATGCAGTGTTGATGGCATCCAGTTGGTTTTGAGTTGCTTCATAAGATTTGATTTGTCATTAAAAACTGACTTTAAACTTGACATTGTGGTAAAACTGTTACACTGGATTTATTTACATGGGCTGGCTGTACCTAATAAAGCAGACACACACTTCAGATTTGAATCCAGGGATTTTCCCTGTCATGGAGTATATTCGTGTTGTTATATTGCTACGTTTACATCAGCGAAGGGTTTGAGTACATATTCCACCACTGGGTCCAGTACACACTCACATATTCAGTCATTTAAGTCGCAGCCTGA